AAAGAACTCTGCACCCAGAGTTTCTTGACTTAGTAAAATGAGGTGGGACCTGAGAATATGCATTTTTAACAAGTTCACAGGTTATGCTGATGCCACTGGTGGGACTGTACTTTCAAAATCAGTGTTTTAGCTTGATCCTCTGAAATATCAGCCCTCTCTGATTTGATACTACTTTTAGCAGAAACTGTATGGTAGACAATCACAACTGAGATTCCCTGAAGAGCAGATGGCCTGATCTTTTTGTTTTGTAAAGCTTTTTTGAGGTATAATTTACATAAAATTAACTCACTTTAAGTGTATATTTTGATGAATTTGAGTAAATTTGTATACTTGTACACCAGCACTATGATTTAGTTTTAGAATTCCATCATGCTAAAAGTTTCTTCATGATCATTTGCAGTCAAGTCTCAACACTCAGCTTCAGTCTGAGGTAACTGGTGATCTGCTGACTGTATGTTTTTTTTCACCTCCTAGAAATTTCATGTAAATGGAATCATGCGATATGTAATCAATGTGTCTTGACTTCTTTCGGTTCATATATTTTTTGAAGTTAATCCATGTTGTTGCTTAGATCAGTACTTTGCTCCTTTTTATGAGGTGGTGTTTTATAGCATGGACACACTTCATTTTGTTTACCTGTATGGCAGTTGATGGATATTTGGATTTTTTTCAGTTTGGACTATTATGAAAAATGCTATTTTGAACATTCATGTACAAGAGATGGCCCACGAATCTCAAACACTGTATTATTTCTTCTGTAAATACCCACTGTATATATATATATATTTTTATGATATCATTATTTCACATTAAATTAGTAATAATTCCTTAATATCATCTACTACTCAGTATATATTTATTGCCTCTTATTGTCTGAAATATATATTTTTCTAATTTGTTGTTTGAATCAGGACCAGACAAGGTACACATGTAGCATTTGATTGATAAGACCATTAAGTCACTCATAATCTCTAATCATTCTTCTTCTCTTCTTTTTTCATGCCAAAGATTTATTGAAGAAACTAGTTACTTTATCATAGGATTTCTTATGATTCATGTTTACCTGTGTTCTTTTATCTCCTCTATTTCTTGTGAACTGGTACTTAGATATAGATTTAGTATATTTAGGATTTTTATTTTTGTGGTGGCAAGCCTATTTCATAGGAGTTGTTTATTTCCTATTGCATCATACGATATCTTTCAGGCTCACATTTACTGATGCTATGATTGATCATTGGGTTTAGATGTTGTCAGCCTGATCTATTCATCATAAAGTTTCCCTTCACCTTTTTTAAAGATTTTTTTTCCTAGAGCAATTTTAGGCTCATAGCAAAATTAAGAGAAAGATACAGAGATTTCCCATTTACTCCTTGACCCCAACTTGCTTAGCTAAAGCCCATGTGGTGAAAGATGTGCCTTCCTCATAGCAATGTCCCACACCAGAGTGGTACATATGTTACAAATGATGAGCCTACACTGATACATCATAATCACTGAAAGTCTGTAGTTACATTAGCGTTTACTCTTGGTGTTGTACATTTCATTGGTTTGTAAATGTATAACCAGATGTAGCCATCATTATAGTAGCATACATGGTATTTCACAGCCCAGAAAATCCTCTTTGGTCCACCTATTCATCCCTCCCTACCCACAATCCCTTGAAACAACTGGTCTTTTTCATTATCCCCATAGTTTTCCTTTTCCAGAATGTCAAATAGTTGAAATCATACAGTATATAGCCTTTTCAAATTGGATTCCTTCACTTAGTAGTATGTGTTTACAGTTCATCCATGTCTTTTCATGGTTTGATCACTTGTTTATTTTTAACACTGGGTACTATTCCATTGTCTGGATATACTACAGTTTATTTACCCATTTGCCTAATGAAGGACATCTTGGTTGCTTCCAAGTTTTGGCAATTATGATTAAAGCTTCTATAAACACTCATGTGCAGGTTTTTGTGTGAACATAAGTTTTCAGCTCCTTTGGGTAAGTACCAAGGAGGGCAGTTGCTAGATTGTATGGTAAGAGTATGTTTAGTTTTGCAAGAAACTTCCAAACTGTCTTCCAAGGTGGGTGTACCATTTTGCATTCTTACCATCAGTGAATGAGAGTTCCTGTTGCTCCACATTCTCACCAGCAGTTAGTGTTGTCAGTATTCTGGATTTTAGCTTTTCTAATATGTGTGTGTAGTAGAATCTCATTGTTGTCTTTCTTTCAATTCTCTGATGATATATGATGTGGAGTATCTGCATATGCTTATTTGCCATGTATATATCTTCTTTAGTGAGATGTGTTTTTCAGGTCTTTGGCCCATTTTCTAATCAGTTTTTTTTTTTAAACTGTTGAGTTTTAAGAGTTCTTTGTATATTTTGGACAGTAGTCCTACCAAGTCACTTGCAAATACCTTCTGCCATTCTGTGCCTTGTCTTCTCATTCTCTTGTCAGTGTTGTTCCCAGAGCAAAAGGTTTTTGTTTTAATTAAATCCAGCTTATCAGTTATTTGTTTCGTGGGTTGTGAAATCTCTAGTCAACATTTTACCAAATAATTTTAGCAACTAATGATGAGCATTCCCTTGATCCTCTATTTCATTAGAGTTGCAAAGTAGTCATCTTCTAATTCTATCATTTCTTCTGTGTTTCTTACCTAGAATTCTATGTATAAGAATATTTTTATCAACTTTGTTTACCTGAAATTCAGTTTTTACCTTAAGAATGGAAGGATATATTCTTATTTCTTTCTTTGTATTCAGTTTATCATTTTCAGAGCAACCTAGAAATATGATTAAGTTTTAAAATACCATTATGAACTGATGGAATGTATTTATGTGTTTTAATTCAATTCAGTCATCATTTTTAGTGATAATATCAGTTCATTTTTGACCACTGTATTCCCCTAAAGTTTCTTCTATTCTTCATGAACTATGCTAATATTTTCATTTTAAACTTCATTGCTTTGTGGCTCAAGATTTCCTAGACTCATATAATACTTTGTGCTTCAGACTATTTTTTCAGGAGACCAGATCAGTGGGAAATAGAATTTAGAGACCATAATCTGGATACTAGGAAGCTTACTGTTTCTGAGTTATTGCTCCTAGCTCTTTGAATATTTCTTTTACAAGGACATTGGATTTAATATGTTTTTCAGTGTGTGATCGTATTTTTATCTCTGAGATTTTGTATCTTTTTGCTATACAGATAAGTGGCATTAACATGATTGAGTTAAGTGTATCAGTCATTTGGTCGGGATATACTTTTCCCCAGGCACAATTGTAGACACTGGTATAGTAATATAAGGTTGTGGCCCTTGCTTTCAGGGAAGCACTGGGACTTACTGTTAGCATCTAATGGAACGTTTTGTAAGAAAATTAATTTTAACTTCATAATTTAAAAAAATAAGTGGATAAAATGCAGAGGTTTCACCAGAAAGAATAGATTAATTCTGTTGGCAGAAGATTTTCAAGAATGCTACACATTCCTAGGGAAAGTAACATTTGTTCTGGATATTAAAGAGATGATATGAAGCCAACTGGATGTAAAAAGATGAGGGGAAGGGACTTTAGTTAGAGCAAAAGCATATCAAAAGACATGAAGCAAGAAAACGGGAACAATAAGTAGGTTGCTATTTGGGGCACCAAAATTGAAGTGGAGAATGACAACTGATGAAGCAAAATCAGGAAATTTTTATGTGCCATGGTAAAGAGCCTCAACTTCTCCTAAAGCCAAAAGAGAAACACTGAAAGATTTTTAGTAGAAATATGAAACTACCTAATTTGCTCCTCAGAATAATCATTCTGGTTATAGTAAGGAAAATGAATTGGGAGGAAAATTGTTAAGACAGGAATACTAGTAATAGAGTGGGTAAGTTCACTTTTGAATTTACAAACTTGTGGCTAGAATAGTGCTTTACATATAATAGGCATTCAGTAATATTTGTTGAGTGAACAAAAAGTTATTGTATGAACCAAAAGAGGTTGATAAGTCTGAAGAAAAACCATATAGAACTAAAGCTTATATTTTTGATATTACTATTTGCTCATCTGCTTGCTTATTTAGTATCTTACCTTAAGATTTTCACAAACTTGTAAGTAAAACAGTCTAACAGAAGAACAGTCAAAAAGGCAAGTTCACAAAAGGGAAATTTGAATGATGACTGTATCTATGAAAATACACTCAACTTACTAGAAAATGCAAATGCCATTTAAATCCCATGAGATGGAAAAAATATTTAAAAGTCTAAACAAAAACCAGTCTTAGCCAGGATGTTAAATTGCTGGGACTTTTATATGCTGCTGGTTGAAGTATAAATTGATAAAACCACTATAGAACTCAGCTTGGCAATCAGTATTTAGTGAGTCAGAAGATACATGAGCCATTTGACTCAGCATTTCCATTTCAAATATAAACCCTAGAGAAATGCTCACACATATACAAAGAGACATGTTCAGCAATGTTCACTGAAGCATTTTTGATTATGCCAAAAATTTGGAAATAACTTGTGTCTTCAGGATAATGAGTAATTTTTGATAGTTGTATAACAGCTTGATATTCTTCAGTGAAAATGAGTAAACCAAAGCTTTATGAATAGAACTTGAATAATCTTCTCAAACAAAATATTGACCAAAAAAGCCTTCAAAATGATAATACAGTGTGATACCACATATATAAAGTTAATTATGCAAAATAATATGACATGTATTATATATATAGTAATAGATAAAAATACCAAATTTAAGAGCCTGGTTATCTCTGAGGAGGATAAGCAAAATGGGATTAGGAGAGGTTACACAGTGGGCTTTAACTTCTTTTTCTTTAATAAATAAACCAGAAAGAAGGCAAAATGAAAATTTAGTAAGTGATATGTAGAGAAGTGTTTTTTAAAATTCTTTCTTATACATTTGAAATGTTTCTAATGAAAAAATCCTCTGAGATTAGAGAATTTTAGAATTTTCCTTCTTCTCAAAGTAAAATATTCTCCTAGCACCCAAATATTTTAACAGGTTTTTATTTTTCAGATTTGACTGATGAACTGGCTCAGAAACTGTTTGATGTTTCAGATATGTCTTCAGCAACAACTGCCCATTCATTGCCTACAGCAGTTCCGCGATCTCCTACAATTTATCCTGCCAGGGCAGCCAAAACACCTCGAACACCCAGATTACAAGATCCAAATAAAACACCAAGATTTTATCCTGTTGTTAAAGAACCAAAAGCTGTTGATGTAAAGGTACACAAAACACCAGGACTATAAAGCCTGCATTTTATATACTTTAACATTACAAAATGAGACTTTTTAGTTTCTATCACAGTAAAAGAAAAAGAAGTACATTTTAGATTGCAAGAATTCATTTAAAAATGATATTTTACCATAGCAGTGTTTTCTCAGGTTGAGGAATAACTTCTTTACCATGGGTAGTGTAATTAAAGACGATCAGAAGGTATAATGAAGACTCATTCTATTGTATTTCCTTTAATCTGGGTGTTGAAACCTAGCAAAGAGCCTTGTTTGTTAAGTTTTGTAACTTGCATGTGAGATGTTTGAGTTTTGTGACTTCATATGATTTCATAATGTGTCATCCACAATATGAAAATGTTTGAGTTGGTTTTACAGTCAGAGGGTTTTAATTTATTTGTGAGGTTCACACTACTGAAAGTAATTGCAATGTTTGACTTCTTTTTCCTTAGAGTCCAAGAAAGAGAAAAACAAGACATAGTACAAATCCTCCTCTAGAGTGTCATGTTGGCTGGGTAATGGATTCCAGAGATCATGGGCCAAGAACATCCTCTGTCAGGTACTGTATTTGTCAAACATTGTTTTGTTTTTGATTTTAAGTTTGTTGAAAACAGTTACTAATTAGATATTTGGGAATATTTAAGAATTAGTATGTTAGCAAATTATTGAACAATGAAAACAGTAAAAAAAGAAGCCAAAGAAGATAAGTGTGACAGTTTTACAATAAGTACATTAAGGAATAATTCAGTAGGACATTTTTTTTTCCCATTTAAAGTAATTTCCACAAATGTATACTCTTATTAAAAATATGTAGGTCTATGAAAGTATCTTTGGAAAGATTCTAGATTTTTTGTAGCACAGTAGGTTCTTATTGTGCTAAACAATCTACTCAACCTATATAAAGGATATGGAAATAAAACACATTAATAGTTCAGAATTTTTCCTTTTGGGGGAAATAATTTATATTAACTGGTTATTAACAGTAAGTGATTTTTCTTTTAGCTTTAATTTTTAAAAAATACTATTATTTACCTGAAAAGAGATGATAGAGCAAACCTTTTAACAATGCCAGTGAAATCCAACAGAGTATGGCTGTTTTGTGCTGTAGAGTGGATACAGAGGTGATTTACTAATTGCTTTTTGTCTCTTGAAAACGTATCCTGTATTTGTGAAGATATTTTCAGAATAATTATCTGAACAGCTTTCTAACTGAAAAATGAGCTTTAGGAAAGTTTTTTTTTTTTGACTGGTTACTATAAGGTAAGAATTAGTTTCATTCAAGGAAAAGCTGGGAAATTTATCATTATCTGAAAATCTCCAAGTCTTTTCAGTGATACTTATTTGGTACTTTTACATTTTGTTCTCATTGGATATATTGTCCTTAAAATATGTATGTATTCTTCTTGGGCACCTATTGTATACTAAGAGTTATTTTGTGTTCTAAGTCATTTTGACAGTTTGTTTCCCAGGTTTTTTAATTGGAGCAGTATAGTTAAGAGATCAATAGGTAATGGTGAAAAATGTTGCACTTATGTATAGCAGGAAGCAAGATAGATACAGTCCCTACTTTTCCGGATCTTAGTTCAGAGATGACAGACAAGTCTGCAATTACAATAATGAGGGGTGAAATTTTTTTAATTGACTTATCTTTTAGAGCAGTTTTAGGTACACAGCAAAATTGAGTGAAGAGTACAGAGTTCCCTTATGCCTTTCTGCTTCCCACATCACAGCCTCCCCACTGTGAGCATTCATATCCTTGGACCATCTATATGAATGTAATTATTGGTGATAAGGTTTAAATCTATTATCTTATATTCTTTGTTCTTTTTTCCTACTTTCTTTTGAATCACCTTACTTTTTATAATGCATCTGTTTTATCTCTACTATTGACTTCTTGTTATATCTCTTATTTTTTACTGGTCTTCTTGGGTTTGAAATATACATTTTAACGTATAGACTACTTTCAAATAATATACCATTACATGTATAGTATAAGAATCTTACAACAGTAAAGTTCTGTTGCCTCCTCTTTTGTGCTGTATTTTGTTACTATTTTTTATTTAGACAGTTATCTTTTAAAGCAATTAACATGAAAAAGGAAATTCTTATAATATTCTTTTTACCATTTTCAATGCTTTTCATTTGTTAACCATTTCTTGTGTAGGTCTATTGGCAGTTAATTCTGTTAGCTTTTGTTTATCAGGAAAAGGATTCTTCTTTTCATTTTGAAAGATATTCTCATTGAATATAGAATTCTATGATGGATCTAGGTATGGCTACAGATTCATAGCTTATTCTGTAGGCAATGAATTCTAAATGCCAAAAGTGATATGATTTAGTTAAATGGTTTTTCAGACTTTTTAGTCTAAGAAACTATTCTTTTAAAAATTACTGAGCACCTCAAAGAACTTTTGTTTATGAGAGTTATATAATTAAAAAATAAAAAAATAAATTGAGTTATAAAGTAAAACAAAAAATTTAAATACTTATTTAAATAACATAATAAAGCTATTATATATTAATGTAAATAACAGATCTTTATAAAGTATAATTATATTTCTCTAAACAAAAAATTCCTGAATAGAGAGGTATTGTTTTAAAGTTTTGCATATTTGTTGGGGGAGGGTAGAACTCAGTGTGCTTAGCATGCATGAGGTCCTGGATTCAATCCCCAGTACCTCCATTTAAACAAATAAACAAGCAAATTAATAACTTAATCCCCCCCAAAAAAATGTTTTGCATATTTGTTCAGTGTTTCACTTAATATGAGGTAACTAGATTCTCATATGTTTCTATATATAAAATGCTTATAATTTGTTTTTTGTTATTGTTGAAGTATAGGAATAAAATCTAGGAAAAGGAGGAGTATTTTATAGCCTTTTTGGATCATTGTTGATATTCTTTGCTATTATATCAAAGCTGAACAAGTGGCAGTTTTTTTTTAAAGTTAATTGCAATATGGAATCTGAAACCATATATCAATGACCTTTTTATACCCAGGAAGGTTTTATACTCTTACATTAAAAGCCATTGGACTATCCTACACTTTGAATGGATCTTTTTGTCTGTGCATGCTTTTGTAACATCATGCATTGGTCATTTGGAAATATTGATTGACTGAGTTATGCAGACTTCTAAATGTTGACTTATCTCAAAATGCAATTTCAAAAAAAATTACATTAAAAAAATAACCACTAGAGAGAGTAATGTCAGGAAGATAGCAGAGGGGGAAGGAACAGGAATCCTTCTCACCACTTAGACAATTTTACTGGCAGAAACTGTTGGCATTGACTATTATGGAATTGTATAGTCTACTTGAACACATATAGCTTCCAGGGGAAAGCTTGTCTTGTAAATTATTAATACTGGTTGATGTCAGCCTTTGATCCTCTAGTGGCGTTTCCCACCCCCGCCTCAGCCCTGTGACAGGTATTTGGGAATATGGCAACCCACATTTCTGGTATGGCTTGCTGGATCCAGAATAGGCAGGAAGGACCATATCCTCCAAATATTGGAGTTCTGGGTTTTGACTGCTAATTGCCGCTTAGCAACAAAGTGCAGACATAGTCTGGTGGCCATTGTTTCGTCTCACTGTGTGAATGTCCTTTTTATTTGTTTTTTGATGTTCAGAAACGACTGCTAATAGCAGTAAATTTAGAAAACTACCACCCATGCCCAAGGACAGCTGTAGGCTCGGAAAAGACCTTAGGAAAATTTAAGCTTTCACCTCAGGCTTGTCCCAGCACAGAAGCACCCTGCAACAATTGAAAAACAAACAAACAAACAAACAAACAAAAAATAGGAAACCCTGGGGAAGAGGGAGCATCTGATTTCCAGAGTTACCACACCATAAGATTCAAATGTTCGGCATTCAACAGAAAATCACAAGCCTTAAAAAAAAAAAGAAATAAGAAAGTATGGCCCATTTGAAGGAACAAAATTAATAGAAAATGTACCTGATGAAGCTTGGATGCCATTTTTTCTAGGCAAAGTCTCTAAAACAGCTATTTTAAAGATATTCAGAAAGCTAAAGGAAGATATGGGTAAAAATAGAAAAACAATGTATGAAGAAAACAAGATCATCAATAAAGAAATAGAAATTTTACAAAGGACCCCGAAAGAAATTCTGGAGAAGAAAATACAATAACTGAAATGAAAAATGCATCAGAGTGTTCAAAATCAGATTTCATCAAACAGAAGAAAGAAGAATCCGCAGACTTAAAGATGGGACAATTTAAATTATCAAATCTGAGGAACAGAAAGAATGAAGAAAAAATAAATAGTATCTAAGGGACCTGTAGGGCACATAAACTGAACCAATACATACATTGTGGGAATCTCAGTAGGAAAGGAGAAAAAAGGTGCTGAAAGAATAGTGACAGAAAACCTCCCAATTTGATGAAATATATGAATCTACAAATCTGATAAGCTTAATGAACCTGAGGTAGGATTAAACCCACAGAGACTCACACCAAGACATAATATAATCAAACTGTTAAAAATCAAAGACTAAGAGGGAATCTTGAAAGCAGCAAGAGAGAAGGGACTCATCACATACACGGCATCCTTACTAAATGTATCAGCTGAACTAAGAATTCCATATCTGGCAAAACTGCCCTTCAGAATTGAGAGAGATATTCAAAGATAAACAAAGCGTGAGTGAAAAGAAAAGGAAATGATATATTGATTTGGAAAGAAGAAATAAAACTGCTTTTGTTCACAGATGACATGATTGCATATGTAGGAAGTCATAAATAATGAACAAAAACTCCTGGAACTAATAAATAATTATAGCAAGATTACAGGATACATGATTAACATATAAAAGTCAATCACTTCCTGTATACTAGCAATAAACTAGTAGAATTTGAAATTAAAAGTGAAATACTATTTATCATCCACCAAAAAGAAATAGTTAGGTATAAACCTAACAGAATATGTACAAGATCTATATGAGGAAAACTATAAAACTCTGATGAAAGGAATCAAGAAACTAAATGAATGGAGATATGTTCCATGTTCAAAGATAGAAAGACTCAATATTGTCAAGATGTCAGTTTTTCCCAACTTGACCTACATATTGAATACAATTTCAATAAAAAAAAATCCCAGGAAGTTATTTTGTGCATATTAACAAACTGATTCTCAGGGAGGTGTGGGCATAGCTCAGTGGTAGAGCACATGCTTAGCATGCACGAGGCCCTGGGTTCAATTCTCAATACTTCCATTTAAAACAAAAATTGATTCTGAAGTATATGGTGAAGCAAAAGACCCAGAATAGCCAACACAATATTTAAAGAGAAGAACAAAGTTACAAAATTGATACTACTTGGCTTCAAGACCTATTATAAAGCTACAGTGATGAAGACAGTGTGATATTGGTGAAAAAATAGACAAATAGATGAATGGAACAGAATAGAGAGCCCAGAAATAGACCCACATAAATATAGTCAAATGGTCTTTGACGAAAGGACCAAAGGCAATACAGTGGAGCACAGATAATCTTTCTAACTAATGGTGCTGGAACAGTTGGACATCCACATGCAAAAAATAAGTATAAACATAGATCTTACACCCATCATAAAAATTAACTCAAAATGGATCACAGACCTAAATGTAAAACACAAAACCATAAAACTCTTAGAAGATAAGAGGAGAAAATCTACCTGATCTTGGGTTTGGTGATGACTTTTTAAATATGACACCAAAAGCAAAATTCATGAAGGAAGAAATAGATAAGCTGGACTTCATTCAAATGAAAAACTTTTGCTCTGGGAACAACACTGACAAGAGAATGAGAAGACAAGGCACAGAATGGCAGAAAGTATTTGCAAGAGACTTGGTAGGACTACTGTCCAAAATATACAAAGAACTCTTAAAACTCAACAGTTTTAAAAAAAAAAACTGATTAGAAAATGGGCCAAAGACCTGGAAAACACATCTCACTAAAGAAGATATATACATGGCAAATAAGCATATGCAGATACTCCACATCATATATCATCAGAGAATTGAAAGAAAGACAACAATGAGATTCTACTACACACACATATTAGAAAAGCTAAAATCCAGAATACTGACAACACTAACTGCTGGTGAGAATGTGGAGCAACAGGAACTCTCATTCACTGATGGTAAGAATGCAAAATGGTACACCCACCTTGGAAGACAGTTTGGAAGTTTCTTGCAAAACTAAACATACTCTTACCATACAATCTAGCAACTGCCCTCCTTGGTACTTACCCAAAGGAGCTGAAAACTTATGTTCACACAAAAACCTGCACATGAGTGTTTATAGTAGCTTTAATCATAATTGCCAAAACTTGGAAGCAACCAAGATGTCCTTCATTAGGCAAATGGGTAAATAAACTGTAGTATATCCAGACAATGGAATAGTACCCAGTGTTAAAAATAAACAAGTGATCAAACCATGAAAAGACATGGATGAACTGTAAACACATACTACTAAGTGAAGGAATCCAATTTGAAAAGGCTATATACTGTATGATTTCAACTATTTGACATTCTGGAAAAGGAAAACTATGGGGATAATGAAAAAGACCAGTTGTTTCAAGGGGTTGTGGGTAGGGAGGGATGAATAGGTGGACCAAAGAGGATTTTCTGGGCTGTGAAATACCATGTATGCTACTATAATGATGGCTACATCTGGCTATACATTTACAAACCAATGAAATGTACAACACCAAGAGTAAACGCTAATGTAACTACAGACTTTCAGTGATTATGATGTATCAGTGTAGGCTCATCATTTGTAACAAATGTACCACTCTGGTGCTAGATGTGGTGAATGTTGATAGTGGGGGAAGCTGTGGTGTGGGGAGCCAGAATACAGAGGGTTTAGGGAAAGCTCAGTACCTTCCACTCAGTAACCCTAATGTTGCCCTAAAAGATAAAGTCTATTAAAAAAAAAAGCTGAAGGAGTTCATCACCACTAGACCTTCTCAGCAAGAAATTGTAGTCCTTAGCTTGAAACGAATGGACACTAGACAGTAACATGAAGCCATATGAAGAAAGAAAGATCTTTGGTAAAAATGCAATTTAATTTGCAACTCCACTTTCAACTTTCTATGTGATTTGAAAGACAAATGCATTAAAAAAATTAATCTATGTTGGGTATACAGTATATAAATATGTAATCTATGGCATCAATAATAGGGGAAAACAGAAGTGTATAAGAGCAGAGTTTTTTTAAGTGTAATCTTCATGATAACCACAAAAAAAATCAATAGAATATATATAAAAGGAAATGAGAAGGGAATCAAATATTTCACTCAAAAGAGAAAGAAACAACACAAAAGCAGGCAGTAACAGAGGAAATGAGGGACAATAAATCTATAAGGCACATAGAAAACTAATAAAGTGGTAGGTCCCTCCTTATCAGTAATTACTTCAAATGTAAATAGATTATATTTTCCAGTCAGAAGACAGAGATTGGCAGAATGGTATAAACACATGATCCAACTATATATACTGTCTACTGGAGACTTAGATTCAAAAATACAAATAGATTGAAAGTGGAATGGTGGTAAAAGATGCAAATGTAAGAGAGCTTATATTTTAATATCAGACAAAATACACTTTAAATCCAAAAAGAATTATAAGGGATAAGGACATTATATATTAATTGAAGTTCAGTATAAAAGAATATATAACAGTTATAAACATTTATGTAACTAATAGCAGCTGCTCAAGATATATGAAAGAGAAATTGATGGAATTGAGAAGAGAAATAAACATTCTACAAGAATAGTTGGAGATTTCAATACCCTGCTTTCAATAATGCATAGATCAACCCAACATAAGATGAGTAACAAAATAGAGGACTTGAATAACACTATAAGCAATTAGAACTAACAGACATTTATAGAATATTTCAACCAACAACAACAGAATACAAATTCTTAAGTACACATGGGAAATTCTCCACAATAGACCATGTGTCAGGCCATAATAGAAGTTTCAGTAGAAGTATCACACAAGCTATCTTCTTTTACCTCAGTGGGATGATGTTAGAAATCCTTAACAGAAGGAAAACTGAAAATGTGGAGATTAAACAATACATGTTTAAGTAACTCCTAGGTCAAAGAAGAAATCATGATAGAACTTAGAAAATACAGTTGGCCCTCCACATCCATGGATTCTGCATCTGTGGAGGGTTCTGTAACTAATCCCTCACAAATACTGAGGATTGACTGTACTTAGCGATGAATGAAAACAGAAACACAGCGTACCACATCTTATGGGGTGCAGGGAAAGCAGTGCTTAGAGGGAAATTTGTAGCTATAAATGCCTACATTTAAAAAGAAGAAAGATCACAAATCAATAACATAACATTATTCATTAAGGAACTTAAAAAAGAAGAGCAAACTAAATCCAAAGATAGCAGAAGGAAGGAAATATCAAAGGTTAGAGCAAAGATAAACAATCTAGAGAAGAAAACAACAATAGAGAAAATCAATGAAACCAAAAGTTGGTTCTCTGAGAAGATCAACATAACTGACAAACCCTTCTTTAGCTAGACTGCCAGAGGACAAAAGAAGATGCAAGTAACTAAAATCAGAAATGAAAATGGAGATTTTACTACTGACCTTACAGAGAGAAAAAGGATTCTAAGAGAATACTATTAAAAATAATACATCAACAAATTAGGTAACCTGGAAGAAACGCATAAATTTATTTAAACACATTAATTACCTAAGCTGATTTAAGAAGAAATAAAAAATTCAATCTACCTATAAGAAGTGAAGAGATTAAGTCAGTAATCAAAAATCCGTAACAAAATTCTAAACTAAATGGCTTCATTAGTGAATTCTACCAAATATTTGAAGATTTAACACTAATCCTTCTCAAAGTTTTTTTGAGAAATTGAAGAGAAGGGAATGCTTATTCTCTGAGGCCATGAGATCTCTACTGTCAAGACTGTTGCCTCCTAATACCATCACATTGAAAATTAGGAATACAACAAATATTTAGTTGATAACAACAGCCATCGTACTTTGATGTGCTGTTAAAGTACTTTCTCCCCCGTAACTGTTACAATAAAAAACAAAACATATAACATAAAATTTGCCATCTTAACTATTTTTGAGAATATGGTTTGGTACTGTTAAGTGTCTTCACGTTGCTGTGAAACATCTGCAGAACTTTTTCATTTTGCAAAACTACAGCTTCTTTCCCCATTTTGTCACACACAGTAAGACATGTACTCAAGGGCTGAGATTTCATAAAGTTACTTTTTTTTTCTTCAGCAAGGACATCCTAAGTTGAAACTGGCATTTAAAAAAAATTCAAGTACATAGCAGTGAATAATACAACCACTAGTAACCACTGCCTGGGTTTACATTAACAGTTTTATACATCATTGCTTTAGCACTATCAGCAGAAACGTGAACACAGTGAAAAGGGAAAATAATATCTTAGTATTATTATGAAAATAGTTTTGATTTTGCAGACTTTCTGAAAGGTTTTTGGGAACCCCTCCAAGCATCTACAGACCACATGTTGAGAACCATTTATTTAGATCAGTCTTAGAAAGATCATTTTGGTGGCAGAAAGAGGAGGGAGATTGGAAAAACAAGGAGACCAGTTAGTTCAAGTGAAAGAGGAGGAAAGCCTCAATTTGAATAATGAAGTGCAGATGAGAAGGAAAAGATATAGGCGAAATATCAGAAATGGAGTAGACTTACAGAATTGCAAGTATGTCTTTGGGATAATGAAATTATTGCCTTTGTACCAGGTTTTATCCCTTGTTTCTGCTGATTCAGTGTATATCATTAACCTAATTACTTATGAAGACTGAAAATTTCCCTGCTAACATAAGAAAAATAAACTAATCTAAACTAAATTAATAATGGATCTAGAAGAGGAATAAGCTAATTATTTAATTATGTGCTTCTACTTACAGTTTTAGTTTGAGAATTCATGACTATGTTCTTTATCAACTTTGGAATTTACCCATATATTGAACATAAATAGCAATTCATATGTAGATCTGTATGTTCAGTAGTTTAGGTGAGTTTTGGGGACTAATGTCTTTTCCACTGCTCAGACTCTCAGTAACAAACAAATAGTTCAAATTGGTTTAAACACTTGGTTCTTAATATTTCAGTTTGAACATTTTTTCCCCCTCCTCAAACAGCAGTTCAAATGCTTCGCCTTCAGAAGGTGCACCACTAGTAGGAAGTTATGGATGTACTCCTCATTCATTCCCAAAGTTCCAGCACCCTTCTCATGAACTTTTGAAGGAAAACGGTTTTACCCAACAAGTATACCACAAGTATCGTCGAAGATGCCTAAGTGGTAAGATACCTTCCTTTGTATATCTATATTTAAAATTAAAATTGTGACATTTAATATCAGGTTAAAATATTCTTTTGTTATAATTTCCTTAAGTAGATGTGCTTATATATATTCTTTATTCGTGTATTTTGTACTTTAGACATATTATGAAGTAAAGTTTAGTATATCTTATTACTATTGGCAAATACTTAAATTTGAGCAATGTGTCAGAAAATGGATTATTAGTTCTTTGTTTAGAAGAAACCCAAATACGTTTTGAGGATTAATGTTTTGGCTTTCTTTTTTTTTAAGTTATATAAAACATCTGCTGTTTTGATTTTTTTCCAGAGAGAAAACGCTTGGGAATTGGCCAGTCCCAAGAAATGAATACCCTCTTTCGTTTCTGGTCCTTTTTCCTCAGAGATCATTTCAATAAAAAAATGTATGAGGAATTTAGACAACTTGCTTGGGAAGATGCAAAAGAAAATTACAGGTCAAATATTTTGTCATGTTTTTACACTTGGAGTTTTTTAAAAATACTAAAAACTAGTACTGAAGTAGCCTGATTTTGAATTGTGAAACCGAAGAGAGGGCTATATTTAAGTTGTCTGTTGCTGCATAGCATATTACCCCAAAACTCAGTAGCTTAAAACAGCGAACGTTTATTAGTTCGCAGTTTCTGAAGGTCAAGGCTCCAGAAACAGCTTAGTTGGGTGGCTCTGGCTCAGGTCTCTTGTAGGACTGCAGTCAAGGTATTAGACAGGGCTGCAGTCTCTGAAGACTTAACAGGCTAGAGGATCCTCTTCAAGCTCATTTGCATGGGTGTTGACAGGAAGCTTCAGCACCTCACCAAATAGGCCTCCCCATAGGGCATTTCACAACATGACTTCACCCAGAGTGAATGATTTAAGAAACGGGGAGAACTTCCAAGATGGAAGCCTCAGTGTCTTACATAACCTGTACTTGTAAGTGACATCACTTCTGTCATGTTAATAGTGTTCACACAGACCAGCCCTGGTACAGTGTGGAAGGAGACTACACAAAGTTGCTGGTATCGAGAGGTAGGATTATTTGGAACCATCTTAGGGTCTGATACAAAGGCCAAATGAAATTTAAAAGAGAGATTTTTCTCATTCTTGTTCCCACCATTACAGATTTATCTTGGATGTGCATATACATCCCCAAGTTGATACATGCTTAGAGCCAAACCAGTTAAGATTCCTTGAGTTCAGAAAAAGTAAGGCCTCTCATGGTACATCCTAACTCACCTGTTCAATCTCATTTTTTCCTACAACAGTTGACCCTTGAGCAATATGGGTTTGAACTGCATAGGTCCTTATATGCAGATCTGAAAAATCAGTATTAAATACTACAGCACTGCATAATCCGTGCTTGATTGAATCTGCTGATGAGGAACTGAAGATACAGAGGAACCATGTATATGTGAAGGGCCAACCTTAAGTTGCACTCAGATTTCTGACTGGGAGCGTTGGAGCTCTTAACCCTCATACGTTGAAGGGTCAGCTGTAGTCTTCCAGGCCACAGTAGTACTGAAATACATACTCTGCAAATGAACTGAGCTCTCTAGCCTCTAGACATCTGTACATATTTTTACCTCTGCTTGCTCTTCTCTTCTTCCTCCCTCTGCTTTGCTAACTCTTCTTTTTTGCCCAGATTAGATCTTGCTTCCTTGAGAAATGTTTAGGGTTAAGTTTATGCGTAGGACTGAGTTGAGACCAGACTAAGAGGGTGAGAAACAACATGAAATGGACTCATGCAAGCTTTTTATTCCTGGGAAAAGGAAGGAAGGAAAGATGAGATGGAAGAAGAAAAAAGATAATTTCCCACTGAATATTTACCTGCATTTACCCTTCTTCAGTTTCTAAAAATAGATTCCTCTTGTAAATCTCAAATAAGAATATATTATTAATCAGATATTGTGGTATTCAAGAGGAATACAAGATGTTACAAATAAATTTTTCTGAAAAAAATTTACATTTGCACTGACTTGTGTAAAAATAAAGCCCATTTAATTTTCATCTAGAATCTTTATCAGATAAAGGAACGACAGCTACATGGCATGCGTACCTCTGTTTCCCTCTCCTCTGTCCATTACTGACATCTTTAATCATTCCAGCATTGTTTAATATTGTTCTTGAATTCAGATTTATGGTCTTTATCACAGCTTTAATAGCTTCTGCCAGTTTACCAGACTTGGCACAAAAGGCAGAATTTGCCATTTCTGATCTCAATGTTCTCATTCAGACTATGGTTTTCTACCCACTAGTGGGTTGTGAAATCAGTTTAGTGATTGTGACTTACTTAAAAATACAGTGGAAAATATAAGACTACACTGATCATAGTAAGATCGATATGTATTATAATTCATACATGCATGCAAATTTAAGAATTACTTGCAAAACTTATATATGCTTTTTTTTAACTTTTTGTTTGTGAGGGGAGGTAGTTAGGTTTATTTACTTATTTTTAGAGGAGATGCTAGGAGGGATTGAACTTGAGACCTTGTGCATGCTAAGAAAGTCCTTTACCACTTGAGCTACACCCTCCCCCACTTATATATGCTTTTATGCACACACACATATATGTGAGTAATGTGTTGACTTGGTCACAAGGTAAAATATTTTATTACTATTGGATTTAGAGAAGTATGAAAGCCTCTGTTATAATTAATCTTAGTTTATTTAGCTATTTAGGCACACAATTTGTTTGTTCCTCAGGACATTCTATTAACTATTCTGATCCCATTTCTACCCAAGTCTAGATAGAGAGTTCCTATTCTTTGTTCCTGTGGTATTCTGTGTATGTTTCTAATTGCTTTTTAAAACAATTTTCTAATTTTGGTCTGTTTCTGCAGTATTCATAACTAGACTGGATTAGCTACTCCTTAGAAAGTATAGCACAGTGGTTAAGCACCTGAAGGCTTTGAAATCAAACCTGGTTTTGAGTTCCAGCTCAGTAACTTACTGTGACCTTGGCAAGTTATAATCCCAGTAAGTTTTAGGTTCTTTTTAAAGTGAAGAGTGTATAGTTCAAGTAGTAGAGCACATGTTTAGCATGCACAAGGTCCTAGCTTCATTCCCCAATACCTCCTCTAAGAAAACAAATAAATAAATAAAGCCAATACCCCCACACACACAAAAAAAGAATAAAGTGGGGGGAAATTATGGTAGGTAGATACCCTCATAGGGTTGTTGTGAAGATTAAACAAAACAGAACATGTAAAGTACTTAACATATCTGATATACATGATAAGTCTTGAATAAATGGTTGCTCTGTTGGGAAGAAGATGAGTACTAAATATATCCATTGACTAATGACAGCAGTAAGATGGTTTCAAGAAGGAAGGAGAGAAATAACATTTATTACATACATATCTGCAATGTGCCAGCTCTGGTCTAAGTGCTTTACAAATATTATCTGTTCTTGAAAAGTAGGATATTATTATTATGCTCATTTTTAGGGATATGATTATAAGCCTAGAATTCAAATATAGTTCTTTCTGATTCTCAGCCTTTATGTTTTCTCCTCCTCTGAGCTGAGGAGTAAGTGAGCAAATGAAAGAAGCTGGTCATTTGCTCCTGCTCTTCACTCCAGCACTTTTGCTGCATATTTGGGTTGTGTTATTAGTGTCATATTTTGGACCTTTGGAATTAGTTTGCTAAAAAATAAGACTAGAAATTCAAATATTGTAGTGGTTCATTGGCCTTTACCAATAATCTAAGAATTCTAACATTCCTCTAAAATGTCATTTACTCGTTAAAACCCCAGATTTCTCAATTCTGCTTTCCAGAAAGAAAGAAAGAAGGAAGCCTAGGATCCACCTGCAAAGATTATGATTTCATTGGTTTGGAGAAGAGACTGGGCATTAGCATCTAGGCATCTTTTAAAAGCTCCCCAGATACTCTGTATCTGTAACCAAGTTTGAGAACCACTGGTATCAATATAATCTGAGCCCATAGGGGAGTGTCAAGGCAGTTTTGTCATTTGAGCTGGTGTTACTTTAGTCCTCAGTTTCCTTAGCCTTTAATAATACAGGCTCAAAGAATAGCATCACTTATGGCTACCAAAGAAAAAAGCTCATGGTAGTGATTCATTGGTAGTCCTAGAATTCTCTTGGCACCTTGCCAAGAAACCTATTTATTCTTCTGAAGAGACCATTACTCTCCATCTTGTAAATAAGCTGGTTACAAAAGACATGTACATACAGACGCAGACACAGACACACACACCCTTCTTCCTATAAATAACAACCAGGCAGTATTACGTTACCAGGACTAAAGAAATTGTGGCTTCTACTCCACTGAGGCACCCAGAATGACTTAAGGATTCCAGCTGAGGAATTTTTTGATTGTGACATGTTTTAGTTGAGTGAACTAGGCAGTCCTTTTACTGCTGTCCATTGATCTTGTCCATGTCCACTCATGGGTTCTGCTCATCACCATTAGTTGAAGATTGAGCCCATGTAGTTTCCTGATTCACTGTCCAAAACTTGCCTCAGTTTCTCTAGGTAGTTATAAGAGGAAACATTTATTTTCTGATTTATGTAGTGATTACAATTCTTTTGGCAAAATATCTTTTATTAAATGTACTTTATAACTAAAGCAGGAAGGCTCTCTTAGGCCATTTAATTAGGTTTGTCCCTTTATAGTTTAGTCAACCACACCTAGGGTCTATGGCCCAAGAGTGCGGTGTTTATCTTTCTACCGTAAAAAAATATTCAATAGTATTTAATACCATGCACTAACATCATTATAAACCTTAGTTTAGGAAAAAAAATCTAAAACATTGCCAATTTGTCACTAAATGTTTTTTTAAAATTGAAGTATAGTTGATTTACAATGTAGTGTGTTACTAAACATTTTAACCAGCTCTTCAGAAATACCAGGGAGAGATTCTCTGTCCAAAGAAGCCATACTCTAGTTGTCCAAGGGTTGCCTCTTATTCTGCAGATTCCCAGTGTACCTCCATGAAATGCTATGGCTGAGTTAACAAAAATAGCAAAGCCAGCTATGGATTTCTAGTTACCACTTCAGCTAAAAATCTGCATACTAAACATTACGTACATTTAAACATTTTTGTTTGAGATTATTTGTGCCATGTTTGCTTGTATCAATGCTATTAGTTAATATGAGATGTTTGCATTATTATAGCAAAAATTTTATTATAAACCTTTCCCCCTCTGCTCCACAGGTATGGATTAGAGTGTCTGTTCAGGTTTTATAGTTATGGACTGGAAAAAAAATTCAGACAAGAAATTTTTAAGGATTTCGAAGAAGAAACCAAAAAAGACTACGAATCTGGTAAAACAAAACAAAACAACAACCTTATTCTATTTGTAAATTGTAAACCTAAGTCTGTCAATAAATAGGGGAGTAGTTCATAACTTATTTTTCAGGGAAAACCACTTAAGACTTTCAGGACACTACAGTTCATGATGAAGGATGGAGCACCATATAGTAAGAAGGCCTTTCCTGTGAGGTGTTGGAAAAATAAGCACTCCCAAGTGTTTCCTTTATGGATTTGTTTTTTGCCATTATTCCTTTGACAAACATGACTACTCACTGATGTCCTATTACATGAAATTTCTGTGTTAACATGAGCAGATATGCTTGGAAATGTGGAACAGCACAGTGGCTGGCAGTACAAGCACTGGGCTAGATCCTTAAGTCTGAATCCCATTTCCACTAGTAGCTCTGTGGCAGTAAGTTACTTACCCTTGTTAGCCTCAGTTTACCCATCAGTAATATACACAAGAGCACCTGTATTACAGGGTTATATATAGTTCAAATTAGTTTAGTATATAATAAGCCATTTGAATAAAACTAAATAATATGTGGCAAATGCTCAGTAAATGTTAGCTGCCAGTATTCATTAGTGTCTTATTCTCAAGATCTAGATAAAATGTGTATTAGAAGACATGGTTTAACACTGGTAGGCTCATATTCAATATGAATCATTTTTTAAAGATTCTGTATAATTTGTCATGTATATTCTTCTTTGTTATTAGGTCAGCTGTATGGATTAGAAAAGTTTTGGGCTTATCTAAAATATTCTCAATCTAAGATGCAGTCTGTTGACCCAAAACTTCAAGAATACCTCTGTAGCTTTAAGAAGTTGGAAGACTTCCGTGTTGATGTAAGTTTTAAGTCCCTTCCCCTGTGTCTTTTTATTACTCTTATATTTAATCAGTGACTTTCTGAACTTTAATTTAAAAATTTTTATTTTTTAACTTTTATTTTGATATTTTAACTTTCCAGTTTTGAAATCAAACTTTACAACAGGTACAAAAATAGTATAGAAAATTCCCATATACTCTGTTTACCCAAAGTCCCTAAATGTTCACATCTTACATAACCACAGTACACTTGTCAGGTCACTTTAATTTTGTTACGCACCTATAATTAAACATTTTATAGATTTAGTAACTTTTATGTGGCTATGTTACTAAATTCTCACTACAGTTTGTAAATTTTTCACTTTTTATGTACTTATGTTCTAGTTTTTATAACATGTGCTGGTATAACATGGATTTAGGTTTCCATGCATAATAAAATGAGAGCAAGAATGTCATATGTGCATCTGTAGAAACAGGAGAATAGGCTTTAAACAATTTGATTTCAAGAGGAAAAGGAAAACATTTAAAAAAAAAAGAATGGAGTGAACATAAGCAGATAAAAGAGAAGGAGGAAGAAAAGAGAAATAAGGAAAAAGGAAGTTTAGGTGCATCTCTGCTTAACCTTACAATTTGTTTGATTGTAGTTTTATATAAATGGATTTGATAGCTCCATAATGGAGTTAACAGAACTGCCTATGTCTCTGGAATTAAAGAGTTAGGTTTCTAGAGTGGTCCAGCCAGTTCTGTCACAAAGACATCCCTGCTCTGTAAGAGTGGCTTTGCCCTATCTGAACAGCAGCTAAGAATTCAGGCCTCTGCTTTTAAATACAATGGAAGTTTGGAGAAGGAAGGGATTAGAGTTATAAATGCTTTGCAGTTGACAGAAGTTGAATAAAGAAGAGAAATAGCATCTCTGTAACATTTTCTCAGAGGCAAGGAACCCAGCCTTATGGTTATATTCTACTATGTAGTTCAAGCCTAAAACAGGAGTAGCTTAATAAATGTGAATGAAAGAGTGAAAATACTAGTAGGCTGTTATAGTTAGGGAGGAAATTTAAGTTTAATATCTTATACTACTCTTAAGTTTTCATAACACTAATAAAGTCTACTGAAGCACCAACATAGTTTCCCTCTGTTAGAAAAAATCTGGCTTTAGATTTTGAAGGGAGAAAAAATAGTAAAATCATCACTATGTTGTATTTCATAATTTGCAGCCCCCTATTGGTGAGGAATTTGGAAGAAAAAGACATTCATCTACTTCTGGTGAGGAGAGTAATCGTCACAGACTTCCATCTTATTCCTCTGCAAAGCCACCGAATGCTGCTAAGCATACACCTGCCAATCAGCTTCAGGTCCCAACAAACTCTCCCAGAAGGAATACTTCCCAGCAGAACAGTGCTGCCTCAGTCTCAACAAATGGTGAACTGCCTGAGAAATAGACTCTTAACAAAAGTCGTTTGCCCTTGAAATCAACATTTACATCAGTATTTATTTGGGAAAATCTTCTGATGTTTAATTGTGATAATCAGAAAAAGAAAAAGGAAGAAAAGTGGTAGCATTTTTTCTAGCAAGATAAATTCTGGAAACGTTTTTCCTGATTTCACGAACAAGGATAGTTTTGGTGACCTTTTATAGAGATCCTCTAGTAATGTATTTTGGTTTCAGTATTTCTTTTTCAAAGCCATTTGTTTACAAGAACAGCATTCCTTAAATATATACAAAAACAGCAGGAATGCCTAACATTTTGGCTCATACTTCTTAAAGAAGATATAGTATGTTGTATTCATCTCTTCTATAGAGCTTTCTTGAAGAATCCAATTACCCCCACTATCAATTCATATTTGAACTTATCAAAAACAAAGGAAGATTACGTATATATTTTTTAAATTCAAAAAAAGAATATGAAATGATACAGTTACTTTTCTTTTTAGATGTATAGTTTAAAGGAAACTTTTTTTATATACAAAAGTGGAAATATATTGTGGTTAGATTGAAGTATGTGCACTTTGGATGTTGTGTTTTGCTTTTTCTCCCCCCCAGTCACAACTCATGATTTCCATAGTTATTATTGTGTTGGTGCAGTGTTCTGAATTGGCTTCAGCTGGTTACGTATCAGGAGCGATTTACCTTTTGTTACTATATAAACCTGTGCGAGTAATTGAAAACTGGGTTGGGATTGGTTGGAAATTTGTTCTAAATTAACTAAATCTTACATTGTTTTGAATACATCTGCTGTTGTACATTCTGCAGATGTGTATGTCACAAGCAGTCAGATTATCTTCAATTTAAAAGGAGTACCTAGTTTTTCCTTTTCGTGTCTTTTAGTTTTATTTTATGCCTATAAGTGTTTTCAAGAAACAAACTAGTTTTTATTGCTGTTGGAACTGATGTAAATGATAGTTTCAGTTTTTGTGGGAATTAAAATAAAGCACTTATTCTAAATTATTTGAATTGATTTTTTAATTATTTTTGTTTTAGAATATAGTTGAAAAGCTGTAATTTTCAAATTCTGCTAGTAGAAGACCATTGCATTTTGTGAATGAAGTTTCAGTTTTAAACTTGTATCTATTTTTATTTAGCTCATATATTTTCTTGTATTGGCAGATGCAGCTAGTTTAATACACTTAATTTATTTTCTTTTTGATGTATTGTTCTTATAGAATGACAGCATTGAAATACATATCTGGATAAACGGACAATTCATTAAATAAGAGATTTTCATTAGGTTATTTCCCATGAATAAATGATAATCTGTAGTTTTGTAATATTTAGTATTTGAGGTCATTTTGATGTTTTAATTTTAAGAAATTGTCAGATTCAAAAACTCAAAATCTACTTAGATCTTGGAAAGAGAATGCAAAACAGCTAATAGACTTAGAATAATAAATTTTTTAATGTTTTATTAACTGTGTATATAGTTCTGGCTTTCCAGTGAGAAATTTCCAAACCTCGTTTATTCTTTTTCTCAGTATCCTTTTTTTGTTGAACACATACATCTGAAACCTGTATTTAACCTAAGGTTACTTCTACTCACCTAAATATGCAGATGTGAATTTGATTGGGAAATTGTATGAAAATACAGTAATCAAGAGTTTTATAATATGTAATAAATTAATAATTTTATATTATTTTGATTATAAAAGCAACACATGCACATTGGGAAATTTAGAAAAGCACAAAGAAGAAAATAAAATACCCTTTTAAGAGGAAAAAACCAAAATTGGTATCATGATATACATATAACATTATAACCTGCTGTTTTCACATGGAGGTGAGCATTTTCTGATGTCATTAATATTTCTACACCATGACTTTTACAAGTTGCATAGTATTACAGCATGTGGATGTACCATAGTTTATTTAGCTAAATCCCCTGTGGTTGACTTTAGCATGTGGCCGGGTTTGGGATGTTACAAACAACAATTTAATTAATAATACCCCTACAGATAAATCTTGATATATAAACTTGGAGTTACTGCCTAGCATAAATTCCTAGAAGTTGAAATTCTATGTAAAAATGTATTCCCATTTAAAGCACTCTAGAATGGTTGAGCAGTTTGTACTTTCACCAACAGCATCTGCTTTTCTGTGTCCTCAGCAACACTGGTTACTAAAATTATTTTTCTTTGATAGATTGAGAAAAATATTTTTAAATTTTATTTTAATCAGGTTACTAATGAGTGATAATTTTTATTGTTTATTAACTACATTATTTGTAGATGGTTTGATCATATCCTTAATGTTTTCCTTTTGGAGTGATTCTTTTTCTAATTGATTTATAGACCTCTTTTACTTATCCAGATTATTAACCCTTTGCTTTCTACTTTTGTTTATGTATGTTTGACATGGTATGTACATTTCTTTGATAAAATTTTAAAAATTATACTCCTTAAATTCCAAATGTGAATCTCAAGCAAATAAAAGCATTGTTATTCATTGAAAAGAAAAACATTATTAACTGTAAGTCTAAATAGCTCTACTCAAAATTTATGTAAGTTCCTAGAGACTTTAGATGCTTCCTTTCTGTGATTTTGCATCTTTCAATTTTATTAAATAAAAAAAGGCAACATTAAAATGTTTAAATCCATACTACTTGTGCTTTTAAAGGAATAATTGAAGCCACTTTTGGAATTCTTTATACTAAAAGTAATTAAGAAAGAAAATTGTGTTCTAAAATAGATAGCACTTTAGTTGTTAAATAGATTTTCTTTTTAAACTGGCTTTACCAGTTTGGGACTTCACTCTGACATTCTCTCATACTTCTCCTTGCCATTATCCTGAATAATGCTACCTCTTTCCTTTCTGTGCTTAATTGTATCTTTTACCTAATTTGTTAGATCCATGACACTGCTTTTTTTTTAAAAAAATTAAAATATAGTTGATTTACAATATTGTGTTAGTTTCAGGTGTACAGCAAAATGTTTAGGTTATATATATTTTTTTCACATTCTTTTCCTTTATAGGTTATTACAAGATATTGAATATAGTTGTCTGTGCTTTACAGTAAATCCTTGTTTGGAAACTGCTTATTTTTATTTTATTACATAGGAGACTGATCCAAGAGTAATACCTAACTATATTGCCACTAGATGGCAGAATGGAATAACTCAGATGCGTAAGTCTTTCGTGTGTGTGTGTGTGTGTGTGTGTGTGTGTGTGTGTGTGTGTGTTTTGGAGAACTCTTACTCCATCTTGTGGTGATATATAATTATATCAATTACTCTTGCATTCCTAATAGTCACATGTGTCTAAACAACTCATGATTACTTTGTTAGGGCAATGCCTAACTGTGCTTAGTTATTAGTAAATAAATACAGTAACAGTGTTAAGATTTGTGTGTGGTTAAAGATAAAAATACTATTGCATTGAATTTTTTTGTCATTTCACTTAAAAGCTTGAAGTACTTCATTAGCATTATTTGTGATTAACTCTCAAAGATGTAAACAAGGCAAGAAAATTGTAAGATGCATCTATTTAAATGTCTAGCTAACCTAAGCTGTGTAGTTAAATCCTGCCTGAAACATGAGAAACTTAAAACTTAAAACTAGATGGTACTCATGACTAGAACAAATTTTTGTCACGTAGCTAGCTGAATGGCAGAGCAAGGATTTAAACTTGAGTAGTCTGGCTCCAGACCTCAAGCTATTCATCTTAACCAGACTTTAACAGCTTGAAATCTTTAATAGCTTGAAATATTGGAACATATGAACACTGATTCTAAAATGCAACTGCAGTGATTCTTAACTATTATAAAATCAAGATTAGATTCTTGTGGTTAAGACTGTGAAGTTGTATCACAGGCATCTTCAGTAATGAATGGTCTAGTGGAATACTTACATGTATTAAGTTCTATATGGTAAATCCTCTTTGGTGGGGGGAATTGTGATTAGGGATAATATCATTTATGTGTTTAAATGTTTTCCTAGAATTAGGTAAGGTAAAATAAAAATGAAATATTTTATTCAGAATACAATTAGAAATTTTAGATTACATTAAGGTTATTATTGTCAACTGAAGATACAATCAGAAATAATGGTATTCTATTCTTTAAAAAGCTTGAAGGAAATATGCCACATAGTTAATTAACAGGAAGCATCTCTAGCTTTGTACCAGTTTATTGAATTCTTTATAATGAGCCTGTTTTTAACTTTGCCAGTTAAGATATGATTTGGTTAATAAAATGGTTTCTACCAATATACTATACATATTTGCTTCAGATTAAAAAGAGAATTTGCTGTTTGTTGTTTTGATTTCTTTTTTTCCAGGTAGTGAGTGTATCAAGTCTACAAAATTGAATACCTTTCTCAGGGTGTTTTAAGGTATGTTAGACTTTCATTGCAGCATGAACGTAATCAAAGTACTGTAATGTTTTTAATATTAAAAATTTCTGGTTTCCAGTTGAATGCCCTTGAGTATAATCTAAGGTGAGACTGTCTTATAATGGATCAAGAGAAGGATTTTGAGAAGAAGGGTCTTTGAGGTCCCAAAATTTAATATGTAGAATTTTACGTATTTATGTATTCTTTGGAGGAGATAATCCAAAGCTTTTATCAGATTCCTACCAAGATTTATGATCTTAAATAAGTTTAATGACCACTGCTCTAGAAACAACGTAGCTGATTTGTTAGAAACATGAATTGAATCCTGGTTCTTCTCACTAAGTTACAGTCCTTCAGCTACAAAATTGCCTTTACCTCATAGTGTTATAAAGATTAAATATAAAGTACTTAACACAGTATCTGGCGTTGAGTAAGCACTCAGTAAACACTAGCTATTATTGGGACTAAGAACTAGACCAGGCTATCTTCAGGTATGTGAAGATATTTTCTCCAATAGGCTATGAATATCATTTTAAATCTTCATGTGAAATAAACCTACCTAAAACAATTAATTAGTAAATAAAAGTCAGATTCCTTGTGATTGTTTTGTTGTCCTAGGATAATAAAGTTATGAACACTTTTCTGCCCTAGTGGTGGCTCACTTACCTCCACGTGAGAAGTAGTAGGGTGCCTGGATGCTGCTATTTCTGCTGACTGTGAACAACCGACAAGGGTATGAATTCCGTGAAGTGGTCACCAGGTTATGAATCTAATTTATCATGTCTCACTTTTAGTTCTTCCCTCTTGTTTATTCAGTTAACAGTTTTGCTCATTGTCTTTTCCCAACATCACCACAATCTTGTTACTTTTGCCTCATTTTAAATATCCAGTTCCTGAGCAGGATAGGAGAATCTACCTTTCCATGACCTCTCCCAGGCTCAGTGACAGTCCAGTGATCTCCCCTGCCACTTTCTTTCACATGAACCTTAGTATATAGTATAAGGAGCAAGGGAGGCACTGAAATATCTCACAAGTTTGTCAAAAACACACTGTTAGAAACTCCCTTTGGGTTGTCAAGGCACTATGGTATAATGCGGTGGTCCTCAAGTTGGGGGTATGCCCAGGAGTACATAAATACTTTCAGAGTTTACATAGGCATAGATATTTCAAAGGAATTGATTTCTAAATTCTCAACTGCCATAAGAACTCTTTCCTAAAACTGATTTATCTGATGATATGCTCCAGTTCCTAAGTCTTTTTCCTACATTTTAAAAGAAATATAGATTGCCCTTACCCATCCCAAATATTACTCTAGATGTGAAAAGTCATGTCAGGCCACACAAAAATGAAACCTTTAATGATTCATCGAGCTCTCATAAATTCATAAGACTCGCTGAATTTCTCTACTTAATAAATATTTTTATTAAGGATAAGGCTTTGTGTGTATTTTTGGTTGGTTCATTGTGTTATTCAATGAGAGTTAGAACGTGTTTTTATCAGATTATATAAAATATGTACTACAGTTACTGCCAGTCCTCATCTTACTGCATCTGATAAAATGTTTTTAATTTTTCTACTTCCTATTTATAGGATATATTATTTTTAAAATAGCTGCCAAACAAATTTGTTTTTAGCAGATGAAAACCTTCTCTTTCATTAGATATCTTTAAAAAGTTGAATCATGATTCTTCTCAAGATAAGCATTTCTAATAAAACTTGGTGGTGGAGATTGTCAAGCTGTTTATCCAGTCTGTTTCTCCTTCCCCTGGTCACACTGCAAAACGCATGCTCATCCTTCTGCTATTTTAGACTTGCTAGTATAACTGGTTCTGGATATTGGAAGGCAGAGAAGGTAAGGGGCACTACTTCAAGGCCTGCCCAGTGCTATCTCCACACTCATTCTTTCCTTTCTTGACTATGTGGAAACTACATGTGGAAGATAGCAGAGCCCCAAGATAAGAGGAATCTGTGTCCCTGAATCACCACCTAGTCCCTTTTGGAACTCTATATCATCAAGAAATAGTCTTTTACTGTATTAAGCCATCAAGAACTTGACATTTATCTGTTACAGTAGTTAGTATTACCTTAACTGATAATGAAAAATTTACTATTTATGTGTAATAATTACCAAAATGTGTATATATGTTATCTCGACCATTATTTATAATATTTGTAAGAATTCAATTGAGAAGAAAAAAATTTCAGTTAGAACCATTTATGGTCAGAGGAAAATAAATAAAATTTTTAATTATATATTTATTTTGGTTGTAGATACATATTTGATGTTCATTAAGACTTTCGAACATTGAAATGTATTAGGATAAAAATCTGGAGAAAATGGAATGGAAATATAAGTTCAAGGAGAAAAGAGAAAGGTATAAGTTTTCTAAATGTTAAAAAAGAGCTTGCTCCTACACTTCTAAAAATGGATATAAATGTTATATTTGTTGTATTTGTTATATCATTGAATTCACTTAAAAAGTGACGTAATTTTCTAAGTCAGTATTTATAATATGCTGGAAGTTATGACCTTTGAAACTACTAAAATGAAAAAATTTCAAACATCAACTTAAAATTTGTGGAAGATATATACATTTATGGAAATTATTTTAGGGGGTTTTCAAGGAAAAATGTTTAAAGACTGATGGGAGGGGGGAAAATGCAGACTTTGTAGTTAAGTGGTTCTGCATCCAAATTCTGATTCTGTGGGACACTGAATAAGTTAGGTTAACCCACCTTCCCTTTTTCTACTGCAATATTTAAATGAAAATACATGTAAATTACTATCTGGCACTAACCTGCTCTTGCTTTTAAGACTCTTATGTACTTCTAGAGAGGAGCTGAGTAGGGCGATTCAATTCCTTTGCTACTGTTACCAGTTGCTCATGTTGGAAGAGCAGACTGGAGGGAGGAAATGACTTTTCCCAGTATAAAATCCTGGAGGGTTTTTAGTTTCTGTTCTGTGGACTCTGGTAGGAATGCTGGCAAGAGGAAAGATTGGTTTCTTCTGTAAGCACCCAGCATTGCTGTCATCCAGGATGACATCTATTTGCTGCTCCTCACCTGTTCCAACTGATCTCTCCTAATTCCCCTACATCACCTCGTCACACTGGTTTGATTACTGTTCCTGGTATACATTGCACAACTCTCTGCCTTGCAGTTTCCCTGGTCTCCCTTCCCCCACCCCACTGGTGCCCATTTGCCTTTTCAGGTCCAGATCAAGCTCTGCCTCCCACAGCCCCTTGCTCCTCTGAGCCATTTCAGAACT